ACATTTATACAATGTGTGATAATCAAATCAGGGTAATTGGGATAACATTCAAATTATTCTCCATTTTGAAATGTACAGTAGATTATTATTTACTACAGATTACTGATTTATCGAACTCTAGGTCTTGTTTCTTCTACCTGTATTTTAAGTTACACTCATTTCTGCCACAGACAACTCCTCAGCCCTTCTGCAAATATCCTTGGAATTCTTGAGGGTTCACTGACTCACGACTCTTAAGAGCTGGAAGAGGTTTCAGAGACCATTTTCCTACCTAGGGCAGGAATCCTCTCTGTAGTACCCCTGACAACTATAGTTGTCCTATACGTGCTAGAATATTTGTGTGACAGAGAGCATTGCTTTTCCAGGCAACTCATTTCACACTCAGCTGTTAATCTACATATGGTTGGTACTTGATAAATATTTGTTGGAAGAATAAATTATATTGAGCAAAATATCCTCCACTGATCCTTGCTGTCCTATGCAAAGCACCAAAGAACAAACCTTTTTTACTCAAGAGTTCTTGAATCTTCAAAACTTGAGTAGAAAAATTTTGTTTCTCTCCCCTGTACCTACACATCTCCAGGCATTCTGTAGGGTTTTTTTCCAAAAAACCATAGGGCATCAAGGTATGGCAGAGAGAGCCTCTGTTGTGGTTTTTCCTTTCTATTCTCTAGTTTTTTATGATCTTTCTTAAAGTGTTCACAGTTTTCTAGAATCTAGATTTTGTTCTAATCATTGCTAAGCGAGGCAGTGAGACCTTTACGTTCCTTGATGTGCTCATCGCATTTCTATTAATGCATCGTAGACGATTTCAGCCATCACAACACATGTTGGGTTTGGAGTCAGCTGAGACCACCGACTGCCAGCACTGGGTCCTCCACGTGTTCGAGAAGCACACACTCCAGCCAAGCTGCAGACAGCAACATGGAGTCGGAGAAGGCAAAATCAGTGGCTGCCAAACCAAGATTCCCCTCAGGCTCACTTCTACCCTCTTGATAAGGGCTAAAACAAATAAGATAAATAATAGGCTTAAATTACTGAACCAGTTAGGCATAAACCACATTTGAAGAATTCCTTAGAACTCCTAGGTGTTACACATCTAACCACATGCAGGTGACCAAATCCCTTCGAGCATGAGGAAGGACATTTCCATTTGTCGTTTCCGCAGTTTGAACGTCTCCATTTAAACAGCCCCTACTTTTGCCAAATCTCCACTTAAGCCTGAACTGTGAAGCTTGAATTAAGATTGGCGACGCTGTTATTTCAAAACTCGTCAGAAGGGGTCACACGTCTCCTAAGCTCCGACGGCCTGGTGGACATGTCAAACATAGCAAATGCCACGAATTAACAAGACTTTAAAAATCCTCAAATTTTGCATTCTCCGTTTCCTTTTTAAGAAAAACTTTGCTAATCTTGGGAACTTCCCTAGAGTGAGGGCAGGTACCACCTGAGAGGAAAGTGTAGCGCCGGTGCGTGAGCCACACACCCCTCAGGCGCTCCTGTGTCGAGGGGCCGGGCTGCGCTTGCGCACTGGGGCGCCCAGGTGGGCCGGGAGGGGTCCGCTTACTGTCAGCCAGATCCTCACAGCGCAAGGACAAGGTCGTGGACCGACTGTGGCTCCCAAGCTAACGTGCAGCGAAGAGGATAAAGGGAGGAAGGAGGAAAGTCTCATGTCCAGGGGTGCTGAGGTCAGGGCTGGAAGCAGTTTCAGGGTAGGTCTTACGAGTCCCCTCGGAGCCCTCTGTCCCCATCCCGCACGCAGAGGGAGCCGCGATGCAACAATCTATTAATACAAAAGGATACCGATGTTGGGTTCTGAGGATGCAGCTGTTGAGAGTAAGATTTAAAACTGCGCTTTCCCTCTCTGCGCACCCGCGCCTCGCCCGGTCCTCTCCTCCGACCCACTCCCGCGTCTACCATGCGCCTTTCATTCCCCTCCCGCGTGGCCCCAGAAGCTTCTGGCCCCAGAGGGGCCGGCCGGCCCGCTGGCTCAGGCGCGCTCCCGCCCGCAGGCCCGCGCCTCCCGCGCCCTTACCGTGTTCCGGTGCCGGCGGGTGCCAGGAGCTGCATCCAGCTGGCGCCCCCTGCCCGCCGCAGGAGGCTCGGGTCGCCTGCCCGGGGCAGCGAGGACCACACCCTCCTTCTGTCGCTATGGAAACGACTCCAGCCCTTTTTGTGACTCCGGAGCTGAAAGGGCTTAGGCTTTGCTTCAGCCCAAACCGCCTTTCACATCAGCCTGAATAACACGTCTGCCCTCCTCCTGCTGCCATTCTCTTGCCCCAGTTCGTCGAAGTATGTGTGGGGCAAGAACGGAACGAAATCCTGGGATGGATGAAAGCTGGTTGCCCAGACCAGAGACGTGCAATTATCCCTGCTCTCCCCGTCTTCAGACAAAACGCGTGCTTATCAGAAGTACATAGGAATGTTCTGGATGTAATTTATTACTCAGCTGAACACTTTCTGAGCACTTACTCTGCGCCAGTTTTTCAGGAAGCATGAAAAGGAAAGTTCATAATTGAATGACAGTAGCGTGGCCTGAAGAGCACACAGTTTGGTTCAGGGAGAAAGCAAATATTAGACTGAAGCTCTTTTTTTTTTTTAATTCAGGATATTATGGGGGTACAAACATTTTGGTTACATGAAATGCGTTTGCCTCGCCCGAGCCAGGGCTGCAAGCGAGACCTTCCTTTCTTGAAAGAGCTGAGTTGCGTCTTAGTCTTCAAGGATAAGTCGCGGTCAGCTGTGCAAAGAAAGCAGATAAGCACTGGTCTGAAGGCCCAGAGCCACAGAAGAGCTTGGCACGCTGGTGCCAGGGCTCGGGGTGGTGGGGCAGGGGTCAAAAGTGCACATGGGCAGAGGAGGCAAGGTTGAGGAAGCAGGGAGGGGCCCGCCAGCTGCCAAGTAGCTTGTGAACTAGACAGGCTCAGGTGCGAAGTGTGGGGATTGTAAGCAGAGAGGTGTTCATCCTCAGATTTTATTTTAGAAAACTCCCTGTGGCAATAACGGTAGGGAAAGTAGGCCAGAGTACGTTAAGAATCAAGGCAAGGATGCCTGTTAGTAGTGGTTTCAGAGTAAGGGAGAGCAGTTTTGAGAAATCTAGGAAATGGAATAGGGCTTGGAGACGCGTGTAAAGGGCGAGAGAATAGACTAAATCCCAGGTTACCCTGTAGGGATTTATGCAGTAAGTAAAAATAAAAAAATTCCTGCATTGATGGTGGTGCTATTTACTAACAGAAAACATAGGAGGGAATATGTCGGGCATATGAGGAAAGGTTGAATTTAGTGACTCAATACATCAAATTGCCAATGGACCAGCAATAGGTCTTGTGTCAAGAGCACGGTATGGGCTAAAGATCCTAATTTGGTAGTCACTGTCACATAAGCGACCACCAGAGCTTGCAGGGAATATGATGCTGAGGTAGAAGTACGAGTAGGCCAAACAAAAGATTAGAAAGCTACAAAATAATGAAGACTAGGCAGAGAGGTGGGGAGGAAATTACAAAAGAAAGGTGTCACATGAGCCAAGGAAATAAAATGTTTTAATCAGGGTATGATGAATAGGGTGTAGAGTAGGTGAGAAAAATACACTGGTTTGGCAACAAAAAGGTATTAGTGCTTTCAGCCAGGCCAGTTTTAACATACTTTGAGGTAATTTTCAAACAGAAGGGAAACTGTTAACATGAATAATATGGCAAAAACAGGTTCATCAAGCTGGTGCTAGATGATTCATCAATGAGATCAGTACCTAACACAGACAAAGCCCTTGCTGTTCACTGTTGAACTGCACCATACAGAATACTTCAGTACTATGGAACTGTACAGTACTATGAAAAATTATGTTTTAAAAAGTGGGGTGGGTGGGGTAGGTGAGGTGGTATACGACAGGATAAAAATATACACTAGATAAGAAAAAACATACAATAGTAATAGGCAAACGCTCGCTTTAATCACAATTCTAAATCATATTCACATTAACATAGATATTTCCATAAACCAAGAAGAACTAAGTTAAATATTATACATTTTTTTAATGGTTAACATGATTTGAAAAAAATTTCATTAAAAAGTGATCAGGAGCTGGTTGAAATTCTCACCATAAATATAAAATATTGATTACTATTTTTATTCACAATAAATTCCGAGCCAAGCTTCCTGAAAAGTTATGTTATCTACCATCATAATAGGGATGACTAAGTGCTTGACAGCTCCTGTCCAGAGCACAAGCTTCACAAAGTGATTACCTTAAGAAACAGCTTCCCCCCGTTTATATTTACAACAAAAAGGCTGCCATCCTTTGCAGAGCTCTCATTTTATCATGAAATGTAGAAAATCAGAGACAAATGTAGATGCAATGGTATCAAGAAAAACAGCATTTCAAAACTTTCTCACTTTTATTAAAGGTTTTGACAATGAAGAAAGATTTCATAAAATGATATTAAATTCTATTTGCTATAGAATAACCATCTACTTTTAAGTAGGAGACATGTGCCATAACACAGAACCATTTGAATGTATAAAATAATTCTGAATTCTTACTATAAAAAGATTTGGCTAAAATATAAAACATCTCTGCAATAAAACTACAACATCGCTTAAGTAGCTTATAAGATTTCAGAAATGTCTCCTGAAAGAAATGGGGACATTTCCTTTTGCCAGATAAACTCTGAATAGTTAAAGTTAAGGTGCCATAAACTGGATAGAACTAGAAAGGAATATAACATTACCAGAAAAGAACAGCATGTGATGTGGACTTCCTCCAAGTCAAACTGACAGGAAAATAGAACAGCTCTTCAGAAGGAAATGGCACAAGAAAATAATTCTCATTAACAAATCTCTTACTGAAGTCTTGAATAGCTTTCCAGAGAGCACAATCACAAAATGGGTACAGATCATTTATATAACATGTTAAAGGATTCCTTTATATTACAATACCCTCCTTAAATACAAACACACTTGTAAAACTGTGATTCTCTCAATCACACATTTCTCTGCTACCACACTCAGCTGCTAGTGGCGCCTGGATGCAAAGGTTTAACTCGTGCTAATCTGGACAAGCCAAGACGGAGACTCTGACTTGGAGACTTAACGGACACTCCTGCCAGTGGGCTGCTGCTGTTGCTGCTACTTCCAGACGCCGCTGAAAGAAAACATGACATGATGCTGATAATGCCAGAAATCTCTTAACAAAGATTAATTTATAAAACATAAGCAAAAAAAGTATTTGAGCATTATTCTGCTTTCCAGGGTCTATCAAGCAAGAAACTATAATAGATCAAAAGAATGGAAAGTACTAAAGAGCTTTTCGTACTAAAGAATACAGTATTGCCTATTTTCTTTTTTTTTTTTTATTTCAGGATATTATGGGAGTACAAACATTTTGGTTACATGTTATGACTCTGCCTCACCCAAGCCAGGGTTTGAGGTGTGCCCTTTCCCTATCTCAGAAGCCAAGGTAATGACACCAAAACTTTACCATGAAAGCTAAAATAGGAAAGTTGGGAGCAAATAACACTGGTTATAAAGGCATAAAGAAATACACA